TGCTATACCAGAGGTCACAAAACGATGATCTCCGATGTTTCTGTTTGGCCATTCCATGTGAACCCTGGAGTGCTGCGGTCTAAATCCACCACAGCACAACAAAATTAAAACCCATCCTATCAGACAGGTATTTTGCTCACTCAAGCAGCTTCACGCTGTTTTCTTCAGGTGGCCACTTCCACACTTACACTCCCCGTGGGCCCTGCAGGCGCTGTGTAGACCCTCTGATTCCTTTACCTTCTGGGGTCAATACTCCCCTATTTGATTGTCCAGTTGCCTCAAGCCCCATCTGTTTTCAAAGATGATAACTACTGACCTAAAAAGTCATTTTTTTCCCTAAGGTGTCAACAGATGATAAAGGTTTAATGCATATTCTCTCCCAAGGGTGCTTGAATTTTAACAGAAGACTGAAAAAGTACAATGCCACCAGAAATGTATTTCTGGCAGCAAGACCAAAGAAAGCTCCGCAGGCAATTTCAACACGCAGTATAATTTAAATCAACAACATGGCAGAAGCTGAGATTAGGAGGAGACCTTATCATGCTGAAGCAACCCCATGAATATTCACTTTACAGTTGTCAGCACTGTGGGGTCTGTATTAGGTGCTCATGAAGACGGGGCAGGGGGCGTTCCATGAAACCCTGAACCACAAATTCCACAATATCTAAAATGACGTCACATAACTCATAAAGATGTAATAAAAGACTAGTGATATGACTGAGGTCGACAGGTAAGTGACGCACATGCAAGAACTTATTATTATCACCCTACAGGTGACATTTATGAGGAAACCGCACTCCGCAGGCAGAGCGCGATGTAAACAGGATCCCTTAGTCACTGTGCTTGGTAGCTGAACTAATGTCTCTCCTATTCCCCTTCAAAATGATCTAAAAATCTTCTCAGGTGTCTGTTTGGAGCCATGTTTAGATTTATACACAAACACAGACAGCCCTTTACTGGGAGTCAAAGAGGATCTTTGAACGTCATTCCACGCTTTTGGTTTTGGCTGACTGGTTATCCTTCCGACTGATGAGTCACTTCAGCTGAGTGACCCCTACTGACCCTAGAGTGCTCCTGTGCTGTAGATGAGGAAATATCAAACGCCCACAGGCTCAAAATACAGAGGAGGCATTAGTCAGGGACCCGAGGACGCCTCCCTTCCCCCACAGAGCTGCTTTTTTTCCTGCCTAAGGAGAAGTTCCGTATCATCCGCATGTATTATTTAGTTGGAAACTCAAACTACAAATTCGCGGTACACACACAGCATTTCCAAAGGATCTCACATTCTAAAAAGCAAATTTGTCCTGTATTTAAAAATCTAAAATACTCTATACTGTTGAATAACTATGATGTACACCTGAAATTAGTATTGTGTGTTAGCTGTATTTTAATAAAAATCCTTAAGAAATAAAATAAGTAAAATAAAATACTCTAAATCACAATGATATTGACTACTATTTGATAAACAATATTAAATATTAATAAGTTTAACAACACTTAATAAAAAAGACATGAAGTTGGCAGAATCCAATCCAAACACTTTTCAAAGCAGCAAGTGAATTCAACATTATATAATTTATATTAAAAAAAAAAAGGTGACAGAAAGCAGTCTACTTAACACCTTCCCGGGATTGCTATCTTGTTTTAAAGCTTTGCTTCCGAGTAATGATCCTAATTGTCATTTCCCAGAAGCCCCCAGTTCACCGGAGAAGCAAAGGGAAAAAGACACAGTGAAGCTGTGTGGAGGTAAACACAGTCCCCCCCAGACTGTGCTCCCTGCCCTGCTCGCCCTAGAAAAACCACACGGCAAAGGGCTCGGAAAATCTACCCAGGGAGCCTTTCAGTGTTACTCGTTGGGGTCCTCCATCATTTATACACACAATAAACAACCACCATTTCTTTAAAGATTAACACAGTGTGGATCCAAATCAGTATCAAAAGCATTGAAGCCTCTTACTACTTCATATACTTAAATGTCTCTTAGAATTCAAACTATGGCTAGTAATGTTTAGTCAGTGCTCCTCACAGTCGTTGCCTATTGCTGCCGTAACAAATGGTTGTCTCACAGTTGTGAGGGTCAGAAGTTTAAAATCAAGGTGTCTAGAGGGCAGCGCTCCTTCTGGAGGTTTCAGGGGAGAATCCACTTCCGTGCTTTCTCAGCTTCGGGCTCACGGCCCCTCCCTGCCTCACTTCAGAGGTCTGCTTCCACAGTCTTCTCTGATTTGAATTCCTCTTGCCTGCCTGTGACAAGGACCCCAGGGATTACACCGGGCCCACTCCAGAGATTCCAGGGTAATCTCTTCTCCAGACCCTTGACATACTCACAACTACAAAGTCCCTTTTGCCATATAAAGTGACAGTCACGGGTTACAGGGATCAGGTAAGACGTGACCATCACTGACAGCCTACTACACCCAGAAAATAAACCAAGACAGAATGGTAACTTTTGATATTGTATTAATAGTAAAGAACTGGCAAGTCAATGACATGTGAAATCTAGTTTCTTATTATAGTCATCATTTCAATTAAGACGCATAGATGCAAACAAGTTTTCTTCAAAGGAACTAGTAAGTTCATTAAAAACAGGACACTTCGGGGGCTCTAACGTTCATGAACAGAAGGATTACTCCTGCGCATCTTACATTTTCACAGTGCTTTGCCGTCAGTACGGTCACATGTATTATCTCATTTATCTCCCATGCAGCTGGCCTGCACGATAGGTACCAAGAAATGTACCTTGTTTAAAACTGCAAACTTGGTAAGGAGAAGAACTAGAGGGGTCAGTCAGATCTTCTAGCTTCACTTCACCACCTCCCTTCCGTGTTACGCTGGACAAGCTCCCTCATGTGGGCCACAGACCCTGCCTGAAGGGTACCGCGTCTACGGTGCTGTAACTGGACAGGTGTAGCTCTAAGAACTCAACTCAAGCTATCAAAGCAATTACGTCAACAGAAAATAAAAGAGTGGAGATATAGAAAGCACCAGATTAGCAGCAACAAAATATTTCCTGGAAAATTTTTCAAAACAATTAAACTACATAATAATAGCTATAACCGTATCTTATTACTAAAAATACTTGGTTCATGAAAATTGGCTTAAAAAAAAGTTACTGATCAGCACCCTAAGACCAGACCAAAATCAAGGAATACTTAGACTGACAATATAAAGCAAACATATTTCACAGCTACCACAGGTACCGGTAAATCAAAGAACTCAAAACTGAAAGGCATGCCACACAGATCAGCTGCATGATTCCATCTTGTTTGCTTACTGCTTGGAAACTGACATCTTTCTTGAAGAACAGGCGCATGCTGCTTTTTCTCCCCTCAAAAATAATCAGGGCTACTGCGCAGCCATACCGCAATCCTATAAAAACTCGTGCATTCTTTAAAGGTAAGCAAAAAAAAACTAATAATAATAATAATAATAATAATAATAATAATGATTTAATTTACTAACAGGCAGGTCTCTGCAAACCAGGCACCTTTAGATAACAAAATATTGACAAGACACACAATCGTATATAGCACTATACTTGAATATTACACTGTACATGGGAAACTGGGAGGTTTTTTAGTATTAACTGTAATAACAAGGATCGCAGTGATTGCAGGAATTATTTATTAGGCTGTCACATACGCTTCCACTGTAAATTAGCGGTGAGTATTCATTAATGGATACATTAAAAGTTTTGCCTTTCATTTAGTAGTTTCAGACCGTACCAGGGATGGGAACGATGCATTAGCCGCGTTCCCCTGACACAGGCGCTTCTGCTTTATAACCATAAATTGCTTTGTCCAGGGCACGTACACAACGCGAAATTTCAAAACAAAACAATTATCTTCTTTGTACTGGTCACCACAAAACGAAAACATTTCTGAAACCTAATTTTTCCATTACCCCATAATCATACTGAAGGAATAGAGAAGATATTTGGCTATGCTGAAACTTTAAAAGAGCCATGAAAACGATACAAAAAAAGCACTTTGAGCCATTTGAATAGTTTTGAAAGCATCTCTCTCAATTGCCCGCAGACATCACCAGGATATCTTACCACCATTTCAAATTCACAAGGTCTAGTTCACAATGTCTTAATTTCACTCCCCACAAACCTGCTTTTATTGTCATTTCTACCCCTAATTAAAGGCATCATGTATACACCCTTGCTCCCTATTTCAACAGCTGTCCGTTTGCTCCTCTCCCTTCTGCATTCCCTGTGGCCACATCTCTCCAGCTTTCCCACAAGCTCTCATCCGTCCCTTCCCTCCTCTTACAGACGGTCTGGGATGTCCCTTGTCATGGTCTCCAGCAGTGTCCAAATTGGGCTTCCTGCCAAACCCACCAGTCTTGTCAAATGCATCTGATAGGAAGCTTCCAGAAAGAGCTCCGACGTCGCATTTAGAATTTTTCAGAGTAAGTAATACAAATCTGTGATACAAAAATCCAAGATGTATTTAGAATGAAAAGTATGTCTCCTCCTAAGCCTGTCCCCACCTACTGGGGTCTCTTCCTGAGACTTCTGGGTATCTCTGTGCATACACAACAAATATGGGGTCTTTTGAGGCTTAAACACGTGTGTGTGCAAACACACACACGGAGTCACATTTTATACATGCACACTGTTCCACATCTGGCTTTTCCCACTGAATACAATTCGGAGTTCACTCCATGCTGTTTTACGTAGAGCTGATTCGTTCTTTTTCAGGGTCGCATAATATTCCACTGTATGGCGTCTTTCATAATTCACTTCAACCAGATCTCTAACTTTGACATGTGGGCTGTTTCCAATCTTTTGCTAACACAATGTGCAATAAACACCCTTGCCCATAGGCCTCTCTGCACACACTGCCAGTGCACGTCACTAGCCCTGCTCATTCTGGGTGATGTGGGCAGTGAAGTCATCAATGCATCTAAAGACTTGAAAGAACTTTCTTCACAATCTATCCTGTAAAGTGTGTATCTTGATCATACTGTGTTAAACCTCAGGTATTGAAAATCTTTTAGGAGTTTTTCAAGTATTTTTGAAGGCAGTCAGCCAGTCCTTGCTGGTGGGCATACTTCCGCCCGTCCTGAAAAGACATGTGCCCTAAAAGCATTCACATGAACAACACTCTCCTGTACGCACACACACGTCTGCATTCTTACAAAGGTCCCCAAAGTGAGACCGTTCAGCTGCTTTATCCTCACAGCTCTTCTCACATTATGAGCCTAACAAATAGGGCAGCTCTAATAATACTGTTGAGCAACGATGAAAAATGAATTATTGTTAGTGTCCCTTATTGATGGAATTCTGAAAAAGAAATGGGCAAGGTTTGTGGGCAAATCAGACCACAGAGGCCAAACACTCAACCCAATCCTCTTATACACGAGATACCATAAAACATACATACAAACACACGGCACGCAGAATTCTGTCACTCTCCCACTCGGAGACTACTGGCAGGCCTGTGTGATTTCTGGTTACAACCCGAGTAGCTTTCCACTGTCAGATGTGCGTACTAAACAGTGCTGTGCTAAATTATTACACAGCATTAGTGAAGTGTAAAAGCAACCCACTTGCAGACAACAATCCAACCAGCTGATCCGGACACGCCATGTCACTAGGCCATGCCTGGCGTCTGGACTAAGGGAAGACATCGCGCAACATTGCTGGAAAGGGCCTGGTGAAGCTCTGATGTCAAGGACCAGGTCATCGTGCAGCCACACCCACTCAATGACATTGGCTGTTTATCAGCTTCTTGCTGCTAATCTGTTTTTCTCCAAGATTTAAAGACCATCTTCTGCCTTGAGTTTCACAACAGTAGGCACAGCTTACCAGAAGCTTCTGAAAGTATCCTAAGAGAGGTGTACGATCCTTCACAGACCCTGGTCAGCTAACACAACTTGAATGCCAGGACTGTCCCAAAGCCTTCAGATCTGCTACCAGTAGTGAGCCTCATCCCATGACAATGAACAAGGGAGGGAGAAAGGGAGGGAAAGAAGGGAAGTGGGGAAGAGAGGAAGGGAGGGAGGGAGGGAGAGAGGGAGAGAGAGAGAGAGAGGGAGGGAGGACAGCTATCTGGATAGCACTCAACCTATCTGTTATCAATAAAAAGATCTTGCTTTAGACTTCATGTGTCTGCTGCTGACTAGATTGCAATTTGTCTCCCTTAGCTGCAAACCTGCCTTTGCCTTCGTGCACTAAGATTTGGTCTTGGCAAAATTTAAATTGGGTCCAGAGACCACAGAAATGTTTAAGGCAGAAACTACTAAACTGAAAATCTCTTTTTTAACCATCACTGTCTAGTCAGAACAGCAAAACTCTGGGATTTTCTGGTGAGTTTAAGCACCAAGGCTCTCTACTAGTCCCAATTTCTTAGCAGGGCCCCAAAGATCCTGGCTTCCTGAGATTTGGAACATCAGACTTCTTAGAAAGCAAGAGTCCACCATGTAGTCAGCACACAACTCCCAAGATACTGAAACTCCTCAGGGCTCTGTTGCTTCAATCAAATGGCCGCAGGCTGTCAGGCCTTCTTCTGATAGCCAGACATTTATGGTGGGTTTTTAAAAAATATTCTTATTGCTAATAGCTTATTTTCCCATATAGGCCCCTATTCCAGGTTCCTCCATGAGACAGGGTGTCACCTTTTATAGGGTTTGAGGCTTCATTCTGTACCACAAATGGGTTTCAGAAGTCAGAGCTCACCTAAATGGGCTGGGACGAACGGGCCTTGAACTAAGCACTTCAGCCAGGAACAGACCCTAGTGAAGGCCAAGGGACTCCCAGAGCCCCTCTTCAGAAGGGGCATCGGTGGAGCGAGCAGCCAGGCTGGCAGAGGGGACAAGCCTTCTGTGGCTGTCCACACAGCTTAGAAGCCTCTGTGTCACTAAGGGTTGGCGGAACCGGGGCGCTAGTTCAACGCTTGAGCGATTCTTGCCTGTTTTCACGCAGAATCTCTCAGGAGCTCTAGAAGCTCAGTTCCACAAGTCCCACAGCTACATGTGCTGTCTCCAGGATCACGCTCCCAGCCAGAGCATCAGCTCAGGACCAGCTATTCGGAGCTGCGAAAGACCTAGTATGAGAAGCGTATGAGTGAAACGCAGGTTTGTAAGTAGCCCCCACAGGTAGCGACAGCACAGGAGGGTCACTGTTAAGGTCACACCTCCATCCCACAAGGTTAAAACAGGCCAGACTGCACACCTGGACGGCCGTTTCCCAATGGCTACCCACCAGGTGCCTCAGGCTCACGTCCTCCCAGGGAGCCAGCTTCATAAAACACGGAAGTCTAGAGTCAGAGATAAGCGGGTCTACACGGTCGCCATTTGGGCCTCAGAAATCCTGGCACAGGAGGCGGGTGTGTGGAGAAGAGCAGACAAAGCAGGCCCGGGGGTTCTGTCTGTGGGACCCAAATTGGGCTTCCTGCCAAACCCACCAGTCTTGTCAAATGCATCTGATAGGAAGCTTCCAGAAAGAGCTCCGACGTAGCATTTAGAATTTTTCAGGAGTGGTGTGGGCCTCAGGCTCTAAGAGGGCTTGTAACCCCCTCTTCTAACCTGCCATGGGCCCTATGACAGCACAGGCTCCAGTCCCCAATGGGGGGCAGTTCCTTATTTTTGGTGCCCCAAGAATCCTATTCCAGGGCCACAAACTTTAAAGACAGGGACCTATCCATGGAGACTTTAAAAGTGTTCACCAACTCGGTCCTCAAAAGCCACTTCTCATTATCCACCACCACACATCCAGGAGCAAGTACAATGTCTGCTGCCTATCGCAGGCTCTCACTAAATATTTGCTGAATGAATGAATGAATGAATGAATATCTAAGGACAGTCCCAGAAGTGGACGAGAGTGGGGGAGTGGGCTGCTGTGCCACAGCTTCTGTGAGAGAAGAAGTACTAGAAGCAGCAGACTGAAGGTTGCTGGCCACGCCATCCCTGAGTCCTGGTCTTCAGAAAACCAGGACAGGCGAGGGGAATGTGGAAATGCCAAGCAAGCAGCTTACCAGGGCACCCTGTTTGCACCTCCAGGGCATGGTTCTTTAGATGGTGAGCCCGCTCTCCCAAACTACTGATAGTGTCTAATCACACCACCACACACCCTTGGACCAAAGTGATCTACATGCTGAGACTCCCATGGTCTGACTATGCAAACAAGGCCAGGTTTCCAGAGCTCCGGGGTTGCTAGGATACTCAAGCACATGCACACTGGTTCTTGACTGCTTTAGAAGGTCCACCTGAAAGATTAATGGATGGCTACTAGTGAAGGTGGAGACAAACCAAGGCACAGTTCTCTTCTACCCATACGTTACATCCACTCCAAGATTTCAGTCTAGCTACAAAAGGACCAGTGGTTTCTTACCTCCTAGGCTTTGGTCTGAGGAAGTTCAGAATAGCTTTAAGAGGTATTTCTCTGGGTTATACTCTTGGAAAAGATGCGATATCACTAAATGAAAAGATAAATATGATACATCCACAGAAACAATGATATTTCATTTCTAAAAGTCTGGTGACTAAGTTACAGAAAAAAATAATACAAATTTCAAACTTAACTTATAAATTATCAGCTTTCATAGTATAAAGCCATCTAAAGTATACGTCAATTTTAAAAGGCAAAACAGCCACTCCAATTGCATGAATGTGGTATCATTTTAAAATGCTATTAAATATTTTCACCATTTCAAATGTAAAAAAATATGAGCTTTGCCCCTTATCAGGCATCTAGTAATCATGTGGGACTACTGCAACAACGAATGACAAGCAACAGTCATGCTTGTAAGACTTACGTTTGGTATAAAAACAGTCTGGGTCATGAAATAAAGATTTCAACAAGGATACAAATATTTATAGGTACATTACAATCCATTAGAAAACTACTGTCTAAACTAAAACTTGAAATGACACTTTTCTCCCAAAGAAAAATTAGTTTACAAATATCATTCATTTATTCATTCAACCAGGGACATTCCTTCATTCCACAAATATTGATTGTGTTTCCCCTCTGTGCCAAGGCCCCGTCTCAGCCCCTCCCACACACACACCAGGCTAAGATCTCCCTCAGCGTCCCTGCAGGATGGTCACTTAGCTCTTGCTGTAAGGAGACTGTGTTTAAAGTGACCAGCGTGGCACCCAGCCATCTCTAAATCCACTCCTCCCTGCCTAGTCCCACCAAACCTCAAGGGCTGAGAGCCCCGAATTCTGTACAGCTGTGTGGAGCTACAAGCCATCCAACCTTGAGAAACTCATTTCTGCTCTCTGGACCTGAGTCTGCTCTGAGAACTCTCTTCTTGAAGGACCCTTTCGGTTGGTTCACGGGGAATGAGGTGTAGAGTTCCAACAATGGGCAGAGCTGTTACCTCACAAGGGGCCGGGCCGTTCTATCAGGTGACTCGTTATAAAGTGGTCCTTTCCACAGAGCTGAAATTGTCCCTCTGTGAATTCAGTCACAGGTCTTTGTCCTGCACACTGCAGTAACACAAAACCCATCTACCTCCTCTTTTCCATGATAATCCTTCAAATATTAAAAAGACGGGCCACATTTCCCCAAATCTTTAAAATAAAAAGTAACCTTTTAACATCAATCAGTCCCCAGCCCTCTTTATAATATTGGTGACCTCCCTCTGTGAGCTCCTTAATCAACATTCCTATTTCAAATGTAGCGCCCCAAATATGATGTAATAATATTCAAGGTTTTTGGTGGACCAGCCAGTACCACGTAAGACTATGATAATGCAACATGAGACTGTGACTGACAGCGCGGAAAAGACAACTGAACATGTAAAAACCAGTGAGAGAAAAACTATTTGAACCATACTCATTTAAAACTCCCCAAGAAAGCCGGCCAGCAGAGTGGCGCGATGGTTAAGAACTGGCTTGAGACACCAGAGGGCCCCAGTTCGGATCCCACATGAGGGCCAGTGACACTGCCCTCTACAGCTAAGATGCTGAACAACAGCTCAACCTGGAGCTGGG